ATTAAAAACATGATGGACGTCATGGAGCACTGTGGAGATCACAACCAAACATATGTAGTTGAACTACAAGACGAAGACGAAGGGACGGGATTAGTCTCCCCTGAGCCAGGAACAATAGACACAAGTTCTATTAATACTTAATTAACTTTTTTATTATTTTTAAAATAGAAAGAAGGATTGAAAAATCTAAAATTATATTAGGATGAGTTAAGAAAAAAATAATTGAAATTAAAAAGAAATTGTTCATTCAACAGACTGTCTTCTGTTACTGAAAAAAAAACTATAATAAAAATATTACTAAAAATATTATATTATTTATTCTAAGAACAAAAACAGTTTTTGCTAAACTCTAAATAACTAAAAACCTCTGAAAAAAAAGAATATTCTTATTATTCTAAATCTTCTTTGACTTCTTTTCAATTAGATTTTTAGTTCCCAACAGAAGACAATTCAATGCAAACACCATCTGCTTTTCGCCCTATTTCACTCCAAGGTAGAAGTTGTTTTACTATAATAAGGGACCCTAGTGTCAGAAGTGATCAACAAATGTCTTTTGTCACAAAAACTCCAATACTAAAACCCCTTCAGTCCTTCTATGAAAATCAAAAACTTACTAAAACAGTTAAAAAAATTGATAGAAATTGGACGTTAAACTCCACAAAATATGTTATGCTTAAATACAGACAATGGCAGTTAGCATTAAGACGTGCCATTAGTTTTGTTGATTTTTTAAAGGACTCTTCAGATGACCTTCAGAAATATTTTTATATGAAGAAATCCCCATCCCAAATTAAAGATAAAATTAATAACACAAAAGCAGGCTATATTGTTTGTTTTTTTATTTATGTTATTCATTGTAAATAATTAATAAATAGAGTTTAATAGAAAATATTAAAAGTGAACAAACAGGACTACCAACTAATATCCCTACCAATTCATCAAGTAAAAAAATTCCAATGGATGTTTTTTATTTTATGGATAGGTTTTATAATGCCCAAAGAAGTGTTTTTATTGAGGATGTAGTTGCTGAGATTGATAGTACATTAAACGATGAATCCAAAAAAGGAAGAGTAATTTTTCATTAAAAAAAATATAAAGACACATATATATATACAATTGTAGCGTTCTTTCGATAAAATATTTTTCTTTTTATTTTAAAAAGAATATAAAATAAATAAAAAGATATGGTATTTAAATAAAATCATTAGATTCTTCAGATAAGATTTCTATTAATTTATCAACATCAATTATTTGTCCATGATAATTTAATGGCAATAATTGTATCAGTTGTGTTAATTTCTCATTTTCATCTCCAGCTTTAGTTTTATTTCTTTGATTATTTATTTCAAACTTTGAGGCTTTTTCAAAATATTCTTTCATAGAATCTAAACAGTTACTTTATTATAAACAATAACATGAATATAATAACAAACCATAATCCATATCATCTTCTTCACTAAATGGTTTTTTATCAAGATATGTAAATAAGTCTTTAACCCAAATAAATGTAAATTTTGAGTGTTGATTAGATGTTTGATCCATTGTTGTATCTGCCATATACCTTTCTTCAAATTCCATCAACGATTCAGTTGTGCCACATTTTTCTTCAAACTCATGATATAATTTCCAAACAAATTCTTTCTTTTCAGGCATTAGACTTAACGCCAAATTTAATAATGCTCTTTCATCTAAACAATTGAATATAACTTTATTTAAATACTTTATGAATACAAACTTATTTGATCATTAATTCCTTGTAAAAAATAATTATATCTTCTTATCAATTCTTCGTTTTGAGGAAATTTCGTTATAGCACTTTGATAAACAGATTTAAGGTTATTAATTAAATCCATTTCTTTTTCACTCCATCCATTTGAATATTGAGTCTCGTAACTATCTTGTTGTTCTTCTTCCATTGTAAGATGATATGATTGACACAATCTAAATAAAAATTTGTTATTTCTTAAGTTTTCCAAAAATTTTAGATTTTGCATTTTTGAAACATCAGAAAAAAAAAAGAATTTAATTATGAAACAAGAAACCCCTATTATAAAAACTAGGGTTTGAGGAATTGTCTTAATGAGCAATTTAACAGAGGATCCACTAGAATGTGCTCCAGGAGAAGAACCTAAAATTGTAAGAATTGTACTTACTGGAGGTCCAGGAGGGGGAAAAACAACTTCATTATCATTAATTGCAGATCAATTTAGACCACTTGGAATTCAAGTCTTTCATATCCAAGAGAATTCAACTATGTTCTTTAATTCAGGAGCAGGATTTCCTGCTCATGCATCTGAAAAACAAAAATTATGTTGGGAATTATGTAAAATTAGGTGCCAATTAGCTATGGAAGATCAATTTTATACTTATGCCAAATCAACTAATAAAAAGATTACATTAATTCTTTCTGATCGTGGAAGTATGGATTCTGCTGCTTATATGTCAGAAGATAATTGGGATAAAGTTATGAAAGAAGGAGGATTTGATTATGACTCATTTTGTAAAAACAGGTATGACCTTGTTCTTCATTTAAGAACTACTGCCATTGGTGCATTAAAGTATTATGATAGAAAATCTAATCCAGCCAGAAGAGAACGTCCACAAGAAGCTGCTGCTCTTGATTATACAATTGAAGAAAAATGGTCAATTCATCCACACCAAATTATTATTGATAATTCTACTGACTTCCCCAATAAAGTAAGAAGAATTTGTGAACAAATTGCACAATTTGTTGGATTTGAGTATCACTCAGTTCTTGAAATTCCAATGACACCACCTACACCACTAGTATTCCAATAACATAATTGATTGATATTTTATCTTATTTTTATTTTATTAATTTATGTTTCAAAAAAAAATAAATTAAAAATGAAAATAATTAATTAATAGGAGTTACACAATATTTCTTGAGTAATTCATACGGAAGATTTGGTAAATAAGATGATAAGAGTAATCCAGTTGGACATTTTTTAATTTTAAGATAAGTCAAAGTAGATGGAAGATCAAGACGTGTTAATTCTTTACATTTTTGAATTTTAAGTTTAGTACATTTGGTTGGAATGTCTAAAAGTTTAATACCACAATTTAATAAATGAAACGTACCAAGAGAAGAAGGTAAAGAAATTTCTTCTATTCCAATACCCATTAATGTTAATTTTTTAAGACTATTAGGTAGTTGTATTGATTTTAATTTTTTAATATTCTTTACTTTAATTATATCAGATAATTGTTTTGAAAAATCAAATGAATCAAATAAACAGTTGATTGAATCAAGTATAATTTTTTTAGATATTGGTAAACGGTCTTTAATAGAAACTTTTTTTAATATAATAAATTCATAAACATAATCTTCAAAAGATGGAAGAATATTACATGAAATAACTTCAATTCCTTTACACTCTTTTAATTTAATTTCTTTGAGTTGTAAAAGATTACTAATATGAATTTCAGAACACCATACATTAATAGAAGTTAATGACTCACACATTAAAATATTTATTTTATTAATTGAATGTGAGGTATATATAAATGTTGTTAAACTATTTAAGTTAGTTAATTCAACTTCTTGAATTTCATTATTTAAAATAATATTTGATAAATCACTACATGCCCCAATACGAACAATTTCTAAATTTTTTAATGTTTTTAAATCTAATTCAAATATTGGAATATTGTTAATGAATAAACTTTTTAGACAAGATGGTAAAATACTTAAAGTTAATTCAGGTAATTCAATCAATTCTAATGAAATGAGTTGGATATCACATAAATTAGTTATTCTTTTTAGTTTAGAACAACCCTCAACAAATAAATGTTCAACATTAGGTGGAAGTGTAATATGTCTAAATGTTTGACATTGTTTTATTTTCATTGTTTTTAAAAGAGGTAATGATGGAAGGGTTAAAGGTTTCCAATCAGAGGCATCAAGATATGTTAATGTTGTCGGCATTTTTAAAGATGCCAAACAACTATTTTTACAAAAAACAAAATGTTTCAAAGGACATTTTTCGAGACCTTCAATACCAACTAAGTTGTTACAAGAACCAATAACTAACTTTTCTACTCCCCTAAGGAAAATTGAACCTCTTTTTGGAAGTGATAAATTTACTAAATATAATTCTTTAAATGTTAATGGAGCTATAGGTATTGATAATAAATTACCATAAACATAGGCAGTTTCTATTAATCTAGATGTAATAAAATTACCATTTAGAAATGCAATTGAAGCCGGTACAGAAGTACATTCATACATAACGCCATTCATTGGTATATAATTATGAATACACTTTACCTTATTTAATAAAGAAATATCAGAAATTTTTGATGTAACAATAACAGCTTTTGGTAAATGTTTTTGAATTTCTTTTATTGATTCAGAAGTAGGTGAGTGAATTTGGACATGTGTTATTTCAGCATTAATAGAGGTAAGTTGTGATAAAAAAGAGACTTGGTTTTCAGAGTTTAAATGAATAAATAATGATTTTAAATTTAAAGATGGAAGTTCAGAGGGTTGAGAAAAGATATTAAGAGTAAGTTTAGTTAATAAAGGAAAGGTAGTTAGATCAATTAAATATTTTGGATGAATTGGAATGTTTAATGAAATAATGTATTGACGAATTGGCATTAAAGGAGGAACTAGTGGTGTTGTTGTATTTTGACGAAACAATATTTTAACGTTTTTAGGTGGGATGAAAGAATTCTTAAAATCCATAGAAATTACTGGAACGACATTTTTAGAATAATCTGATAATAAAGAAAAAAGAAATCTTGTAGGTAAATATGGTAAATGATCTAATGAACGAATACAATTAAGTATTCTTTTATTTACACACATTAATGAAAATATATCAATTGATTTTAAATATTGAACAATTTGTTTTAAATGAATATTTTCGACTTTCATATTTTAAATATGAACTTTTCTAGTTCGATTCAATTGAACTAACTTTTTAATATAAAAAAAAACTGAGACAAAATGAAGAAGATTAAATTACAAATAAGCTAAATTATTAAAGTACTTCATTACTGTGTCTATTTCGTCAAATATGAATTTAGTTTCTTTTGCTTCAATCCATAATTGTACGTCAACAGATATTTTTTTAATTTTTTCTGCATTTAAACGTTCACCAAAATCTAAAGTTAAAACATCATCAGTTCTAATACGATCTAACCAAAAATCTACAACAGGAACTTTAGAGGTAAAAAGAGGTAAAGAACAATAATAAATCCAAAATAATTCATGTCCATTAATTTCTTTAAAAAATATTTCTAGTTTTGAATATAAAGAATTAGAAATCTTCTTTATTTTATTAAAGAGAATAGGATTTGACTTTTTTTTATTTGATAATACATTATAAATTAAATATGCCCCATTAAATTCATTATAAAAAAATAATCCATGAAATACTGAAATAAAGAAATCAATATCACTTTCTGTTTCTATTAACTGTTCTATACTTTGGCTAAAACGTTCCATCGTTTGTTGATATCTTTTAAAACTTGATTTATGCTCATAATAAACTAAATCTTTTACTTCAACTAAATTAAAACATTTGTGATCAAATAATGCAATTTGTTCTGCTATAAAGAATGGTTCTAAATTAACAAGAACAATTTTATTAAATGTTTTAATTTCTTGTAAATAACCAACACTCTTCTTTATTTTTTTATTTAATTTTGATAAATCTAATGATTTACCTAATTTAATTTTATATATTTGATTAAATCTATTAGGTTCTTTAAAACAATCACCAATAATATTAAATGATTTTGAAAAACGAAGATAATTTGATGTAATTCCCTGATAAATATTTTCTATAAACTTCCTAAAATCTTTTGGATATGTTGGATTTAAAAGACATTTTAATGTATTTTTATTTTGAAGACTTGGTGAATATATTGAAAAAAGTAACCTACTAATAAAAATAACTTGTTCTTGAAGTAGTTTATATTCTATTTCATTTTGTTCTGATAATGCAAACAAAAGATCTGTATGTGCACCTGCAATAAATGTACAAACTTCATCAACAGATGAAAATAAATATAATGAATACATAGCATCAACAATAAAATCTTTTGGAGCAAATGGATCAACCATATATTCTAATATTTTCATTTTTGAAACTTCTTCAATACTAGATTGATTATCTAACAAAGGATCTCCTTGAACATCAAAAATACTATTATAATTATAAATTATTTCTTTTATAAAATTATAATTATTCGTTTTACTTCCATGTCCAAAACAACATATTTGAAGGACTGGTAATTTTTCATTAACTTCATCTAATTCTTCATCACTAATACATTTACACATTATTGATAATATTTTTCTTTTACATTCTTTCATTTGCCATATAATTATTCTAACATCTTTTACAGTTACTTTCCAACAACAATTAAATTTTCCTTCTATTAAAAACATATTTTTCTCAATTAAATGATTAGCTATCTCTACAAATTGAATTTCATTAGTGTTTTGTAGTTGTTTTAAAAAAGTAATATATTGTTCATCACTGTTGTTATCTTTAAAATATATCTCATCTTTAATTTTATCTTTGAATTCTCCAGACAATGACATGCCTAAAGATAATTTATCTTTTAGACTATTTTGAATTGACACTGTCCCTAATCTTTCTGTAGGTGTAGAAGACTTTCTTTTATGTTGAAACATAAAATAAGTATTCAGAGATCTAAACCATTAATATTACTTATTTCTATATCTATTTAAGAAGCTTCTGATTTGCTCTAATGCTTATTAATTCTATTATCTACTTGTGACTATTCTTTTCTTAAAAATTATATCAATTACACTCATTCATAATACTTATTATTCTTTCTTCTTTTTTAACCTAATTTTATTATTATTTAACACAAAAAATAACTATAAAATATCAACACTCCTAAAAAAGTTATTTTAAAGCTTGTTAAAGGAGACAATGTCAACTGATTGGACATAGTCCTCAAGTCCTTCAATTTCTTCTTGAACAGACTCAGTATCAACTGAATCTAAAACATTGCAAATAATAGTAAGTTTCTTAATACCATATGCAACGTCTTTTCTTTCTGATCCTTTCCATTCAAGTCCTTCTCTAGTAATAGCTCTAACTGCTGCTTCCATTTCTTCAAGGTTTGTATCTTCTCCCCATGGTTTAATATCATAAACAATTTGAGATTGTCCAACTGGTTCAGCTTTCTTAGCAGCTTCTTTAGCTTCCTTTCTTTTCTTTTCAGCCTCAATTTCTTCTGGGGTCATTTCTCCAAATAAGTCCATATCGTCAGCCATTTTTCTTCCTTTAACTGAACTATTAAGTTCTAGATGTTGTAAAAATTAGGTTATGATTTCATTTCGACTTTCTTTAACACTTATATGATAATTTATTTCTTTACTTCATTCTTCAATTCTTATTGATCTATTTTTAAAATTTAGGGTTTATAATTCTATTGATAATCACCAGAAGATCATCAGATAATTGAATACACATTTCCTTCTCTCTTTATCATCTTTATTGTAGTAGAAAATCTTTTTTTAACTCAATTAATTTAATAGGCATTATTATTACTTTTAATCTTAATTTCTTTATTAAGAAGAATTTTGTGGTTTAATCATTTGGTTCATTTTACTTGCTTAATTGTTTTATGTCTCAACGAAATATATTATTTATTAACGAAGACTTTATTATATAAAATCTCATTATATTTCTTTCCTAATTTGTAAGAGTAAAGGTATGTAACAAATCTTTGATTCATTTACTGCAATTTTTATTTAGGAATTCAATAATCTTTTATAAACAATTTACATCTAATAGACAGTTTTAGTAATTAAAGAACATAAATTGCTTATTGAATCAAATAAATTTATAGTTTTTCTAAAAAATAACTAAGAAAAAAAATTAAAAACAATTTTCTTATTGCTACGAATTTTCCAAAACTTATAAAAACTTTAATGTATAAAAGAGGAATAATGGACGGAGAACAACAAACCCCTTCTATTACTAATAACACTAACAACAATGAACAATCCTTTAGCTCTGGACTTGGAGTCACTTCAACAGGTATTCCAGTATTTGTAGAAGTTTGTTAGTTAAATTTTTTTTTACAAAAATAATAATTATAACAAAATAAATAGGCATTTTTATCATCATTCTTTGTACTAAGTTCTGCTATTCTTTTCTTTGTAGAAAAGACTAATGTTTATTGCAGATCGGTTGCTCTTCAAGGAGTAATTTGGTTCTTTGTTTTATTTATTGCAGCATTCCCTTTCTATTTGACTTGCATTGCTTTCGGTGGATTTTTTGAAGTTGTAATGATGATTTATGTTTTGTTCTATCTCATATTCAAAATATTCCTTATTGTCATTGCTCTTCTTCGTGCTCGTTCAGAAGTCTTCTTTGCTATTCCCCCATTTGGTCATCTCATCAACAAATATGCTGCTACTTCTGACTAATATAATTCTTTTCGATTTCATTAATTGTCTTTTCGTTTTATATATAAAAGATGACAAAGAATTTTAAGATAAAAAAAGAAAAAACCCTGAAAATAAAACGAAACCTCATCACTAACCATTCGCTAGTTATTTAACTGATTAAACGTAATAATTCACTTAGAAACGAAGTTTAGTAAATAACCATGATTCTTTACCCTTTCTGTATTCTTCAGCAAATTGAGAAGAAATAGCCTTCTTTTGTGAAATTGGATAAACTTTACCAGCTTCAAAATTACTAATTTTAACTTGTTTAATGAGGTTGAATTGTTCAAGGTTAACTGTGTATTTAGTTGGCATTACATGGTTAACATTAATAACCTTGCAGAATGACTTAACTGAAGTTCTCATTTCTTGAACTTTTGCAGACATTTTTCTAGTGATCTTTAATGGAGCTCTTTCAACTCCAACTACAGTAACAAATCCATATTTTCTGTCTTTGGTTCCTTGAAGGTTAACTGAAGAAACAACAGCTTTTTTACCAGCGAATCTTCCTGAGAGAATGATAACAACACGACCTGGTGCAAGGATCTTGCTCATGCTACTCTCTTGTATTCTTTTTTCTAGTTCAGAAGGGTATTTAAGAAAATCCTGGGGTTTTGTTGTTTAGTTTTAGACTAACTTTTTTTTAATTATTCTTAAGAATTTGTTTTTTCTTTTTTTTCGTTATTTTTATTTTTTATTTTTTCTTAAATTTAAATAACATTTTTGTTTTATACCTCAAGTTTTCTCTTATTTCTCTTAATTAAATACAATCAGATCTTTAAAATTATTGGTATGTGCGAATTTCCACCATTCATTAGTGATTCTTTTTTCTTTTCTCAAATGACAAGTTTTATGAATTCCGTTGAGCGTAGTGTTTCACCATCAAATAAATTTGTTCACTCTGACATTGTTACACAATTAAACAAACCATTTGTTATTATTAATATTGGTTCTCCAAAACCACACACTTTTCTTTTTCCTGGAGTGACATTGTTTGATACTGCTGTTGACGTGATAAGTAAATATTATAAAGCCAAAGGAACATTATTCTTTCATTCAATACCTCTTTCTAATTGTTCACTAACATTAAATCAAATGTATATTTTACCTTCAGATCGTTTTGAATTTAGAACAGAAAATAACTCTACTTTCTCAAAAGAAATTAATGAATTTTCAAATGAATATGGTATTTCTCCTCAAAAAGTTCAAAAGTATATTGACAAAGGTATAATTACAGAGTCAATGTTAATCAGTAAAGAAAGCTCTAATAATGAAAAGTTACTGGCTGACAAATCTCTTAAAAGGTTTAAAGAAAATCCTTTTCTTCTTCCAGAAATAAATAATATTGATTATATTAAACAATCATTTCCGAATTATGTTAATGCTATGTTACGCTATGTTTATGACGGTATTAAAATTGATCAATATCTTTATACTGTTAGATTTATTCCTGTACTTTTTAGAGATACTAAACAAAATGTTTTTGATTATATCAACGTTGATAATATATTAACTTTACCTGGATGTTTGATAGTTCTTCCAACATTAATCGAATGTCTAAACACTTCAAAAAAACTTGATGATAAAGCATATTTTATTAATAGGGAATTAGTTTCAACACTTTGTGAAACATTAAATTTTGTTATTTCTAATTCTAGTACATCAGAAGTTGAAATTCTTCAAATATCATTATATTCCTTACTTATTTATGTTATTTCGTTATTACTTAATTTTCAAATTCCTACTATTTACTCATCATCATCTGTTTACTTTTCAACACCACTTTCATTACTTTTCACACCTGATAATTACTTAAATATTTATAAATGTTTAGATTCACCTCAACCAAGAGAAATGCAAGACTCATCTTATTGCTATCTTATTCGTACACACCAGCCTCAGGAACAGATCGCTAAAATACTTACTCATCTTGAAAGTCCAATTTTAAGAATTTTACTATTAGAAGATAATCCAATTTATAATATTCAGTCATACCTCCCCTCAATAAAATCAGAGATTGATAAAATAGATTATTGCAGTGGATTTTGTTTCTTTCAACCAAACTCAACAATCGTATCATCATTTTTATACGCATTTATGTCGACTGAGCTTATCACAAATAAACCTGAAGGTTCAATTCAATTAGTTAGTGAAGGGTTAAAAGAATTACAACAAACACTTAATAATAATCCGATTCAAATAATTAGTGTAGGGTATTTTAGTTCATTATTTAAACAGCTACAAACAAAAGAATATGAGTTAGATGATGTAGAAGAACCTAAAACAAATAGTGCGTTAAATTTGATCTCTTGTTTAGAACTATTTCTAGAATGGGTTCGAGGTACAAAGTATATTAGTAATTTTGCATTATACTCATCGCTTAATCCTTCAACCCATCTTATACCAGAAAAATCACAAATAAAATATGCATTATTAGTACATCAAAATACTAGTTTTTCTTCATTCATCGAAAGAGAGATTATCCCTAAAGACTACTTTATTGTTGGAGTGATGCCAAATATTTCTGAAGAATTTCCGCTTCAATTCACAAATGATGGGTGCAAATATCAATTAAATTCTGGTATATTTGGAGAAGGAGATACATATCGTGCTGTTATCCGAAAGAACGGACAGTATATTGTTTGTGAAAATAATTTACAAGTAAAAGTAAGTGAATTGGAATTAAAATTAGCGTTATCTGGAATGTCATCATTTACACCACGAATTTTGATTTATAGAAAATTACCGTTATTTAATATTCCAAGATTTCCATATCCATTATCATATATTCCGTTAATGAAAGAAGTCACTATAAATCAAGGAGATATTTATCTCTTAAGAGATATGGAGCAATGTTATAAAAATGTTAATAAACAAGATGCATATCGTTATTTAAAGAAAAGGTTATTAAATGAAATTAATCCATTTGAGTATCTCGATAATATTGATTGGTGTGCTGATGACGCAAAATTATTTAGAAAATTTCTTAGAGAAGCAACAATAAAAAATCCAAAAAATGCATTGCCATTATTTAAACTAAAACTTCTACAAACTAATAACCCAGAGGTATTAAATGATATTACTGATATTGCTGCTTCTTCTATTCCAAAATTATCCTATCAATGTATAGGGTCAGAGTTATTAGAATCTATTTTATCAATCCCGTCTTCAAAATCTTTTGAAAGGTCAGAGTCAATAATTCCATTTACAAGATTTCTTCGAGTATTTTTACCATACACACTAGTTAATAGAGAAGAGGGAAATCCATTTAGACACCCAAATCCTATAGAAATTAATTCAATTGATCTAAATATTAATGTCTTAAAAATGATGCTATTAAGAGATGAGAAAGATGCATCTGTTATTCTTAATTATTTATCCTGGAATAATACAATGTGGACAGAAAATATATTATCAATGCTTGAAACAGAAATATTAGATGTTTTTAATTCAAGCGTATATATCCATTATGCATGGGAGATGTTTGGATTAGAAGATAATTTAAAAAGTAAAAGAGTAGAGTGGTTAAAAAAGAAAATACAAGGTTTTGAAATTAATTGTTTTGAAATTGCTGGAATTATAGTTGAAGTTGTTGGTGGAAATAAAGACGTATTACAAAATTGTCGAAGTATAATATTAAAAGAACTTCTTAATAAATGTCCAAGTGCTAATAAATTAAAACAAATGAATTATAAAATGATGATAGAAAATAAAGACTCAAAAGAATTTAATGACTTTAAAGACACTCGAATTTTCAAAACACTTATCAAATGTTTAGGTATGATTAATAAAATGGAACAAGATTTCCAATCACCTGTTTGTCTTGAACGAAGTATTAATAAAATGGCATGTGTTCAACTTCAAGCAATTCAGTTAAATAAACAAATTAATAATAAAGAATAATAACCCAGTTAATGATGTTTATTTTTTTAATTTCTTTTATTAATTAAAAAAATTATTTTTATAATTATCAAAATAAAATACTTAAACTGTAAAATAATTAAATGAAGAGTTCAATGAGTGCTGAAGATATTACTATTGCTAATTTAGTGTCTGAAATAGAACAGTTAAATAGTCAAATTTTTAAAGAGTCAATTATTAATCAACAATATGATATTGAATATAATGAGTTATTAAATTTAAAAAAAGGGAACTATGACTTTAACTATGTAATTGGAAAACAACAAATAGAAAAAGAATATAAAAAGTTATTGTTAGAAAAAGAAAGATTAGATCTTTTAATTAATAGAAAAAGACGTCCTTACAATGATTCTAGAAATTTGTCTTGTATTCCTGATAATGGTATTCCTTTAAAAGATTTACTTGAATCAAAGAAGAGTTCAATATGGAGTGTGTGTGGAATAGTTAAAAGTAAAGAATTAAAGTTTAGTTCTATAGAACATAGA